GAATACTTATGACCATGTGATATTTCAGTTTTTCTTTCTTAATAAATCTGCAAAAACGTCAAAAATTCTGTGTTTTTCTGTCAATATGGGGTGCTGTGTGTACATTAATGAGGAAAAAAATGAACTTAAATGATCTGAGCATATGGCTGCAATATAACAGAGTGAAAAATTTAAGGAGGTCTGAATACTTTCTGTACCCACTGTATTGTGGCTTAAAAGATGACTTATACTGGGAGTTTTTTAGTACTGTTTTTACCAGAACATAATTTCCCACTAACTGATCTGTCAGCTGGTAACCTGAATTTGCGCCTTAATTACCTGAGCTGATGGAGTTGGAGGGCTTAGAGCCTGCCCCTCCACGGCCACGTCCTGAGGTGGAGCCTCTGCCCCTGCCACCCCGTCGGGAGCCTCTCTCCTCACCGCCTATGCCACGGGGCCGCTGGTCTCGCTCGATGACATCCTCAGACTCCGAAGCATTGGACAGTTCAGAGTTTGTGCCTGCATCAAGCAGAGACAAATAACAAAAAGCAATTCTAAGCCCCATAACATTACTTTTCATATAGAGAAAATCTTCTATTATTAGGATTACTTTCAAAAAACACAAACCGTGAATGTGAATCAAAAGTGCTGTTTCTCACCATAGCCAGAGTACTGGCTGTTGGAGGGCCTGCGTCCTCTGCCACGACCACCGTAAGTGCGAGAGGTGTGGAGGGAGTTGGTGCTCTCATCTGTCAAGTAGCCTTTCTCCCGGTCAACACCAGGTCCCCCGGTTCGGCTGGCAGGTGCGCGGTACCCAACCCCGATCTGACGGAGCTGCTCATCAATCTGCAGACGCTCTAAGCGTAGCTGCTCCACTTCCTATAGAGCAGACAAACAGCTGAAGACAGAATGCACTTCATAGCCTGTTTCTCAGCACATGGTCTTCTGAAATGTTACAACAAACCAGCTCCCTCCATGCAGTCATTTAGTGTGGTTGAACATTTCTCAGAAATTGCATAAAAATTTTCCTTAAAAGATAACTACCATCAAAACTAGTCATATGCCACCCATATCAAGTTAAGCTTTAACTACAAACAAAGGGGCAGTGATGGTGGTGCAGGGGTTAGCACTGTTGCTTCACAGTGCGAAGGTTCCAGATTCAAACCAGGGTCTTTGTGTGGACTTTGCCTGTTCAGCATGTTTTTAAATCAGATTTTGGTTCTAACATATCATTTGGTAGACTGTGATTGATTGCAACTGTTTCACCTTAACATGGCTGTTCAGACTAGAAAACAGCACACTCAAATTCTACTGTATTGAGATGGGATGGAGCCATGGCCTAAACAAGACGTCTCCAACACGTCACTTGCAACCTACCAGTGGCTCGCCTAAAGTGCTGCGTATTATAAGAAGGGCCTCTTTCTAATTTTTCCAAGTGGGGTTGTGTGACGAGTGATGCAATTATGTTTTTGATACAAAATGTGTTGGAAATTAATATTTGATAACAGGTTACAAAAACAATTAGCCTGTTCAGATGGTTTGGAGATCTGTTTGAAGGTTTTGTGAGTAAAATTAACTAGTATCCTAATATAAAACATAAGCCACTAGCATTTTGTCAAAGTAGCTTACTGAGTAAGAAGCTTGGAGACCCCTGGTCCAAACACCCACGTGCTGTGGGCTTGTTACTGAACCTGCCACTCCACCACCAAGTGGCAGTAAAGCATCAAGCTCAGACTTTCAACCTGATAGACTGTGGCCAAATTTAACTCCCACCAAAAAATCCTGAACATAACCTTTTCAACAGAACCATCTTCTATTGAAATACCTACCGATTTCTGATGGATCGGCTGCGAGTGTTAGAAAACTGCTCAAATATTTTTAGATGTGTCTTATATGACAAAGTACATGTGAAATAATATTGTGTAAAAATAAACTGTCACACTTTTTCATTGTTTTGGACAAAGACAAAAATACGACATTGTTGTCAGCCCCTTTGATATGCGGCTGACATATTTGGTCAGGATTTATCTCAGGTCTGCTAAAATGGTAAAATCAGCTGTTCACAAGGGAAAATAATAATGTGCACCAGTTACACTTTAAAGAGTCGTTTTCACAATATACAACTGGGGTAATATCATTTTGCTGGAGATCCCCTGTTCTATCACCCCTGTGGCTGTGGCTTACGAGGTAGGGCAGTCGTCTTCTAACCAGCAAGTTGGTGGTTCGACTCCCGGTCTCCCCGCATGCCTAAGTGTCCCTGAGCAAGACACTGAACCCCAAATTGCTCCCGGTGGTTC